CAGCAGGCTACAACCTAGGACCTAACAGAAACAACACTGCTGGCAGTTTGTGCCATAAAGAGGATCAAAAGTTTCTCACGGCAGCTGGATCTCCCAACAGCATTATCCAGAAGTTCTTAACCCCCTGACTGCCACTGGGACAGGAGGGCTGGCAGGCAATGCTGCATTCGATTCAAGAATACGAAGGGTGACTCTGGAAGACTTGGGACAACTACTGCATTTTGGGGTGGCTGAGTGGACATGCACCTGTCCTAGAAATCTTGAAGAACTGGTGGCCTCTTTGGGTATCTGATCCCTGTGGCACAGGGGCACAGCCATGAATGAGAATCTAAAGGAGCACATACTTTCTCCTATTGTCTCACGGTCCCCAATTCTGGACCACGCAAAAATCCCTGAAAAGGAACATCCATCGCACACTCCATCATGGCTGGTGTTAGCACTTTCCTAGTGCTCCTGTGTGCGGTCCGGTGTATTAACGTTTATGCCTCTATAGGGATGTGTATATGACAGACCAATGAGAGAACCACAGGAATGACCTCAGGGCTGCAGACTGGTGGTGCAGATCACTTCTCTGCGTGCGTGAAGGCACCTCTCTCAAGGACACAAACCGTGGGAGATGCAGGCCCTGTGTCAGAACAGCCTTCCCAGCTCCCACACGCATGAATGCCCAGCTCCATCCTGGTGTGCAGTGAACCGAGCGTGGGGCCCATCTTGGTAACACAGCCTTTTGACAATAAACAAGCTAGTAATTTTAAAGGGCTTTTTTTGTTGTTGTTCTTACTAAGTATCATATACCTGTCTGTACAGCTAAAAGAAATGGTGTGGATTTTAATATCTTGTTTCTTTCTCAATCTTTCAATTTCTTTCAAAATCAGACTGCAACTGGTGTCTGGTTTTCCATCAGTCAATACATACAGTGCCTCTGTACCTTGGAAACTGAAGGCCTTCTGAAAAGCAGAAAATAAGCATAAATAATTTATTTATACAAAAAGTTGCTCTTAAGAATGAAAGCACCATTCCAATGATTGAAAATAGTTTTATAGTTACCGCACCATTAATCAAGTTAGTACTGTCTTGTCCTTTTCACTAAGTATGAGAGAAATCAAGAATATACATTTAAAAAACAAACAAGTAGATAATTTGTGTCGTAAGACAATATATTCATAAGCAAAGCATCACCAAAACCTGACTCACTGAAATAAGCAAATTACCTGAGTTTGGAGAACTGCTGACAGAACATTTTTACATCACATTTTGTGGGAGTTATAGATGCTTGATGTCTGAAAATCAGGCTCACTAGGACTTGGTGTTCTTATATTATGAAAACATGCTATGGTAATTGACTCGGTGGACAGTTTTGTAATACAGACATGCCTTACAGTTCCACTCGACGATTCATGATGAGTTCTATAAAATTTACGCGGAGGTTCTGTAAGGATGTCTGGAATAATAATTTAAGGCAACATTTCTTTCTTTTTGATTCAAATTTTAAGTCTCATGAAATTGCAAGTTCTTCCAGTCTCCATTTAAATTATCATTACTAGTTAATTTCTACACTGAGAATTTTTACAGAAGCTTCTTCATCTGTTACTGAAGTTCAAGAATTGTACTCAATGCCCATGTGAGTCCAACAAACGCTGCTGCTTTAAAATCCCTGTTTGACTCAAGAGCAAATATACCACAGACACAATTGTACATAAGCATCATTTTGAGCAAACCACCAACTTGCTCTCCAGTATTCTTTGAATGCAAATATTAATGCAATTATTGATATTTCACATTTTTCTTAATCTCAGTATAAGCAATGAATTAAAGTACCTACAAGCCCCAGGGACAGAAACAGTGGCTTGATTCCAGATCTGTTCAATGTTTTGCATATAAAAATGTCATATGCTTTGTCCTAAAATCAGTCAGATGGAAGAGTTTTATCACAAGACACAATGTCTCCTCCAAAATGCAGTACACAATTTACTCACCTGTAAAACTGTAAGGATGCATGTATTCCCATGAGCATGGAACGTGGACACCCACTGCACAGCATCGTGACACGTTTCATCAGTTGCCTCTACAAGACATTCCTTCCAACACTCAGTATTTTCTGCAAATCTGAGCAGGTTAAACCTGAGAAGAAAGATGGCCACAACATGTAACCCTAACCAATACTATCAGTCGCTTTGGATAAGACAGTTTTGAAAAATAAAAACAAACCCAAAACTCAATAAACACCTCCCCCCGCCCCCAATCCCAAGAGCCTAGTATTGGATTAAGGTCTTGAGCTTTGGAAGAGTCAGAACGCTTATTTCACTCTGCATGAACTGCAAATCTATGGGAATGCTGAGCCCGAAAGTATAAACAGCATCAGCCTGTGGCAAATGAGGCCAAAAATTAAAAGTTGGTTAAAAAGAAGAACAGGAAAAGCAGATCATGTCACTTGTGTATTATGCACTGACATATAATTACTTGTATTGTGTTTCAGTACTGCCTCATTTGTAATTATTAAGTAATCTTATTACATAAAATTAAGTAGTGCAGATTTCAGTCTTTATCAGTAGTTCATCATACCTGACTTCATTTTTTCTCAGCTGCTCCCAGATAAGGGAGATAAGTTCTTTCGTGATATGTGGCAAATACGGGTCCATGGAACCAGATGTATCAATCAAAACACAGACATTTGTTTCTAAAATGGTACCAAACAATCTTCGGCTTCCTAGGCAAGAACATTAAAACTAATTGAGTGTCATTACATAGGCTTAATTATTGAACATATGATTTTATTGAGCATACTGTAAAATCTTCAGTCTTTAGGGTTCATTCTGGGTACTTTTTACATAATAAATCCTATTTTATGTAGCAACAAGGTATTTCAAAGGTAAATAATCGAAAAGTCTTCTGCCATTTCAAATCTAGCACCATCAAGCATTAATTACTAGCAAATTGTAGCAACTTGCATTAAACAATTTGTAGCTCCTACTTTACAATCCAGCCCAAAATTAAACTGTTTCCCAACAAAGATCTTTATAAGCCAGAGAGAGATCAAAATACTTCTCATTAGCAGTGATGCTGAACTTCTAAATAGGGCTCACTCTTCACAAAAGAAACAGAAAAGCTAATTTTGCCTGTTTATGTTACTGTATATATTGTGTTGAAAGTTTCTGACACCAGGAAGCTTGTATTCATGAACACAACATATAAAAAGGGAAAAATCTTACATCACAGCCCTAATTATTTCACAGCATGCTAGATGTTTATCAGCTACACAGATGCTGAGTTCTCTTGTATTCTTGTAAAAATGAGGGTTTTTTTTGTGAATACAATTTCAATGAAATGCAAAACTGATGACCTTAATTCATATTTGAAATCCCAATTTATGTTCACATTTATTCTATTAGAAATAGTAGACAAGTTGTGCTTTACAGAAAAACAGATGCACACCAATACCTGACAGAAGCCACTGTATTCTTTTTATATAGCGCTGCACCACTTTCTCCAGTTGTTCAGTGTAGATTGCCAGTTCTTTAGGTTGAATCTGCAGATGTTTCACAACCCCCTGAAAACATCCAGTTTTTACAAGAGCTTCAGCTGATCTGAGCTCAGCTGCTATATTTGCAATGTCTACATTAGCAATCAGCGAGATTTAGGTTTTTTTGTCTTCACCTCTATGAAATACTGTAAAAAAATATCTGCAACTCTGTTGTTACTAAATAACTGGTTCACCTGAATTAGGAAAGCTAGTTCTCATCTCAGCCAGCTGTGCTGGGCAACAGAATTATATAATTTGACTGGACAGTTGCATCTGTTGCATTATTTCTGAGAGATATAAAAGACTGGTATTATCCTCGACTTGTAACTTTCTGTTTCTCTCCAGTCATTAACACAAGCTGAAACAATTGCGATTCAACATTTTCCCATTTTTGACTTACAAATGATTTTTAAAAGCTTTACTTAAATTTTTAAAACAATTTTTCACACTGTATGAGCAGAGGAGATGCTGCACAGTCTAATGATCCCATGCAGTTTGCCCTTCAAACCTACTAAGTATTTTTTTGGTGGGTAAGAGACCTTCTCTAGCTTTCTGATAGAAGAGTGATTTAGAAAGAAGACCAGGGAAGAGTGGAGGGAACATCACGCTAGGAAGCCTCAAACACTGATCAACATGCACTGTCTTAAACAAATAGAAAGCCTTTCAATGGTGTAGGCATCTGACAGCAAGAGCTTACATTGATTTCTACACTCGGGAAGATGGTACAGTATTTTGCGGTTACTTTCTTGTGCAGAGACGCCACAGTTTTCTTTTGGTGAGTACAGCCTGGACCAAACACCAGTCTGGGCAATTCCAGTTTAAGCTTTTTAATACCGTACTTGGTCAGCCACTTGTAAGACAATGAAATGGAGCAATTGGTTGTTAGCAAATATTAGAATAGTTTAAGTAATAATACATTACACAGAATGACAATTAACACGTTCACATTATTTCATATGGATAATCTAAAATAGCAATTTATTAGTGTGGAGCAAAATACCTCTTTGCTTGAGCAGAGTTCCTCTTTCTTTGGCAATGTGACAGAGGGAACAGACTTTCTTACGCACGTTAGCTTTGGATACTTCCGATATACTGTACCTAGTTAAGAAATGAACGAAGTAATATTGGGAGCCCAGGGTTTAAATCACAGCCCTTATGAATCACATGTGACTGCTGAGTAAAGCAAAAAACCAAACCCCCAAACCCACAGACTAGCATTTCATACACAATTCAACATTTGAAAAAAATGCAAAGTTTCTATATATCAAAGTTCTAAAAAAAATAAATCACTTATTTTAAAAATTCCAAACCAAACGTTCTGTAATCATCTAAACCAGGATGACAGCATTTTTTCTTAGAGCATCTCTGGCCAAAAGATCCCAAAGGACTTCCCAAAAACCCCCCCAAACCAACCCTCCCCCCAAACCTACATCCCCACAAAAACAAGTCAAAATGAGTCAACCCCTCAAAAAAAAAAAAAAAAACCCAAAAAACCCCCCAACAGTATTTGACAAGTGAAACTTACTTCCACTCACTCATTTAAACCACACCAATTATCAGTGACTTAACATCATAACAGTTGTATAATAAACCCACTGATAATATAAAGGTTTCATCCATCACGTCCTGGCAGCACATACCCACATTTCTTCCTTTATCAGTATAAAATACCGACACAGAAAACTCGCACTGCTTCCTTGGTTTATGCTTTCTTTTATTCTCAGTCTGAGGCCGTTCTTTTATTGTTTGTGCTAAAAATATATGAAGAAAACCCAAGCTGACATACTTCAGCTAGATAAAACAGTTCTTATTTCCACAATTACAAATACTTAATTGTCTTAGATACTGGCTAAGAAAAAAATACATATTTAAGACATACTTATGCTACTTTCATAGAAATGGAAGCAAAACCTTTACAAATGTATATATTAACACCGGCAAGAATGTAACAAGGCATAATTTGAAAAGTTTAGGGGTTTAGAATAACCATAATATTTGTTGCAAAAGCCAATTAACATTGTACAAAACACCTCATATGCAAATATGAATCCAGATTTGTAAACATTGCTACATATTAATAAACTAATTTCAATAAATCAGTAGCAGGGACGGAAAGAAAAAAACCACAGGAAAACTACAAAAGTGGAGGAGAAAGAAAGTGGACTTTAATGGACTCACAGTGGCTGGAATCAATTTAAGAGCTGTTTCATACACCAGGTGCAGTTGCAAGAGTCAGCAACTGACAGACAACCTGACCGATAACCTGACATTTGTGCTGTAATTTTCCTTCATTACTGGATCATAAATAACTCAAGTGGAACAGCACATTAATTACAATGGGATCTACCAGTAATAGCAGAAGTCTCTCTATACTGAACTAGTAACATAATAGATCTCAGAATTGCTGAGCCTTTGAAAAAAAGTGGAGTATGAACTGAAAACCAAGAGAAGTGATGTTGTAATTATGGCTGCAGGCATGGGGCAAGCAGGGCTCTACTTTTAACCACACACATCTGAGACTTCCTGATACAGGACGGGCATTCAGCCATATGACCTGCAGTCATACAGCTGTGCAGCGTTCCTTCCTCTCACAGCCCAGAAGAGAGCTAGACACATTACAGCTGTAACTCCTACCCACGGGACTTCAAAACCACCACAGTGCTTCCTATCAGTCGGATTACAGATCAAACTTCCAAGTGTTTCTAAGATCTTAAAGGAAATTTCTATTTAAAATTTTAAAATGGAATACAATTTAATACTTTTTTGAGCAAAGCCCAAAAGAAACGGAAGACAAAAAGCCCCTAATCCATACAGACCTGGTGGAATTTCTGCTTTGGCACTAGTAGGACGCCATGCCAATACTCGTACTGAAGCATTTCTCTCTGCTCCATGGTTGTTCTTAATGTTCTGTAAGCACATATAATAAAAATTAAAAAGTGTCTCACTTGGATCATAACTGCATTATGCAAAACTGGAACTATCCTTCATTACTCTCTAATTCCTGTCTTACTCTGGCTCTTCTGACAAATTAGCAGATTGCCATGACGACTTGTCAATTTGCGATTTCTTGCTGGGTTAAGTAAATCTAATTGCTCTGTTTTAATTATCTTTCCAGTGTCACCTGCTGCCATAAAACTAAAGACTAACATTTACAGGCTGAAGAGTTTGGACCATTCCTGTTACTTGCAGGACCAGTCTTGTATGGCAGTGGCACTGTTTTTAGAATATAGCACTTTCCTCAGAGATTTATTGAATTTTGGAAACCTAGTGCTGACAACAGTAATTTTTCCTTGAGGTACATCTCAACCCTCTAGGGGCTGAACAGTCTGCTAAACAACACGGACACTTGTGTTTTCCTATTGTAGGACCAGACTCTTGCTGTGACACAGAGCCCTTATGTAACTGACAACTAATTTAACATACAGCTCTACTATAAATATCACCTAACTTCTACAGACAAGCCTGCATCAGTTTTCTACAAGTTTCCTCCCTGTAAAACCATGCTATTTAGTCAGGTCTCTGAGTGATTACATTTTTCCTGCATTTGTGAAGAGGTGTTGAGAATATACTGGTTTTGATAAAATAGCATGGGAGATCTGTTTGAGCTAACAAAGGTCATGAGCACACCTACACTTAAGAGTGCCATTCCCACTTCAAAACTGAGACCTGAAAATTCCAGGTCAAAGGTTAGTACCCCCTCTGCAATAGGAAGTTCTGTGTCTAGTCACACACCAAAGTGGTACGCTCAGTGTATATTACAGACCTACACGCACACTCAAAACAGATGCACACACAGCCTAAATTAACAAGGAAAACATCAGCAAAATCCCAAAAGACTCGGTAGTGTTACTCCATGGAAATAAGCACACTGGGCAGGAAACAAAGCTTGAATCCCATCTCTTGTTTTATGCTGGCTCTCTGTGTGGCCAGAGAGATGCTACTCAGCTGCGGCTGTAAATGAGCAGAATACCGTAGAATTCAGCACTTGCTAGAAGCACTTGTGAAATAGATATAATCTGGTAAAGCACATTTATGCTTTGCCTTTATTTTCATTAAACACTAATTTTTTAAGGTAAGAGGAGGGATTATTTAGACAATTTCAGATACTACAGTGTGGTTCCATTATAATTAATTACTTAGCAGGAGTTAATAAGATGTACTTTTTTGTTTATGTAGCACTTTGAATGCAAATTAACATACTATCACACTGCTGGTTTAATTCCTTCAAATTTTCAGCCTGAGTACCTCCCTCACAAAGAGCAGCATCTGAGAGTTGGACAGGCTCTCTAATTAAAACACACAGCGTATTAAAAATAGTAGCATTTCAAACCATTCTAGCCAGACTCAGAGCTGTGGGTTTAGGAGATGGCAACTTCTTTGGCTTTATTTTCTCTTTCTTTGGAAGCACATTTGAGTCTCCTTCTGGTACAAAGGGATTAACAGACTGATTTACTGAACGGTGCTTTAAGGATTCCACTAGGAATGCACACTGAAATGGAAGTTGGCATTGTTTAGTAATTAATGTACATGAAATATAAGTAAATGACATTTCAAAGACAGGGATTATGTATTTAATACTTTAATAATAAATAAAATTCACCCCAAATTAATTTATCTGGTAATGCTTAACACCTCTAACTGAATAAAAATCCCTTTGTGCTCTGCTTGCTCAAACATAGAGGTGGCAAATCCTGCTCTGAGCAAGCATTCTAAAAGGAAAGGGAACAGTACGCATACCAAGACCAGTACAAATGGGCTGATGATGAACCAAGTGTATGCAGCTATTCATTGATAACAAACTATTTTAAGATCCCATCGAACATCTACCAACTCTTCCTTTTAGAAAATACTTTTGTGACTCAGACTTGCATGCGACAAGGGGCTCAGACATGTACCTCACTGCATACATCTTTCTAATCACACTTCTGTATGAAAAACCAACCGTACTGCCAGGCTGGCTGCCTCAGTCACTGTGTTGGGTATCTGTAGAAAATGTCATGTGCTGTAATATGGAGAGATACAGCCTAGTTCTAAACCCTTGGGACACTTCAGAAAACAACTGGTTTAGAACTGAACAAAGGTATTTTGCCAATGGCAACCCCTCCCTCCACTGTGACTTACAGGAACAGAATATTATCTATTTGCTACATATGTACCTTTTTAATACACTTATTTATGTATTTATATAAAATTCTAATGAAGAATTAATTCTGCTTGAGAAGAATTCATCACAGGATTGGCAACAAAAAGGAGAAGCACTTCAACTGTAAACTCCTTGTATCTGATAATACGGAATTTCAGCCACTCCAACACCAATCACCGCAGCGCTATCGTACAACTGCTTTCTAGTCCATATTTACTCTACGGTGACTGTTCTCACATTCTAGAGCATTTCTTCCCATCTTACAAGGGTTTTCATGCTGTTCAATTTTCTGCATTGTCAGCTGAACAAACGTTGAATTTTTTTTCTGAAGAAACACAAAACTTAAAGTTACATGTAATTCGTACCTTTTGGGAGTAGTTGTTTGCTTTTTCCATTTCAGACACAATAATAGTGATATCGTCACTTTCAAAAATACCTGATAATCAAATATATGTTAATCAGTGTGGGTTTTTAAGTGTAAAAAAATATAGCTTTTTTAAAGCATACAACAATTTGTAGAGCGTCCCAAATGTCAGTGAGAAGAATCAAAAAGCCTTTTTTTCCTGTAAGCCAGGCAGTCTGGACCTACTGCATTAGTAACTATATTTTAAGTGAGCATCTTTGAAATACCTAGCAGAAAATAGTGAATTCAAATACAAATTTGAATTTATAATTTTTGAATTCCTGCATTAAGGCTGCATTATAATCTTCTGCAATACAGCTGAAAGCCTCAATCGAACTAGGACCTCTATTTATATCTTAGTGCTAGTATAGCTTTATTGCATCCTAAAAAAACCCTGACGCGATATTGTTTCATTAATGAAAAAGGAGCACGTGCTGCCTTTTCTTTTCACATACCTGCTTCTCCAAACCAATGAAATCTCCCACGGGCTGCCTGAACTATTTGTTTAAAAGCAATGGCAGTTTCTGTTGGGTTAGCATAGTGGGCTGGAATAATCCCACTGGAGTCGACGTCCTCCGTTACACTGAACAGACAGACGTGAAGCTGCAAATCAAAACCTCTGCAAACCTCAGCCACATAAGCACTGATTGTGTGCTGTAAGACATAGGAGAGGAAAAAAAAGAAGAAAAAACGGCAGTCACCCTCTACCTCAGACCATCTTCCATCTACTCCACTGGTTCCTGAACCGATGTACAAATACTCCCATCCCGAGCACCTGCGTAGCGGAACCTACCCAGAGTAGCTGAATGCCTCCTCAGTTCATGCATGGAGACAACAGCTGGCTAGTGACCATGACAGCAGCATTACTGCAGCCAAGAAGTGAGGTGGGGTAGCTATGGCAATCAAAGACATGGACTCCAAGGTAGCCATGCACTGAAGCAAAGAACCAGAGATGGAACTATCCATTCGGCTTTATTTTGCTGTTATCCACATGGGCTTTTACTGATTTCTTGCATTTGCCTAGAATTTCCAGAAGTTTGCTAACACAAGCAAGAGACACCCACTGCATACACATGGTTACTGCAGTTGGATTACCACATGTTCAGAAACTTGTGGCTGTGCATGTGGCTTAACTGCTACAGAGCACATGCACTACAGACACAGATCCATGCAAAGAATTACGATTATTGAAAATAGGAGCTGTCTCTATATAGCGTGCTATGGAGCCCCACCACAAAAATATCTGTGGCTTTGTTCCCATGAGTTATAAGAAAGTGACACCCTATGAACCATCAGAGTTGGTTTGTTCAAACTCAGAAATCTGTAGTGAAACGATGGCCAGGGCTGAGGTGGGAAAGGAATCCTAAAGACACTTGAATTTTCTGTTTCACATGTTATTAGTAATCGCTACCTCCAACTCACGGATAGCGGTCGAGATCCTAACAGTTGCGCTGGCTTAGATATGTAAAGGAGTATTCTGCCAACAAGCCCTGAAGGCTAGCCACGAGGGGGCGGGGTGGGGGGAAAGAGAGAGAAAGTAAAGTTGAGATTAATTCTCACAGCAATTTACAGAAGAGTTGCAGAAGTTGTGATGACACTTACTGTTTCCTGATCAGGTATTCCAGTAGTCAGCAAGTAAAGTCCTTGTGATTTGTGTTTATCTTTGTCTTTGAAGTCTACTTCCACAGCTCTCCTGAGCGCACTCATGAAATTTCTACTCCCTTTGCACTGCAAGCTCAACACCCACCTAAAAAGAGATGTTTACAGTTCAAAGAATGAGGCAACAAATGCTTGTGTTTCTGCTTAAAGCAATAAAGAGAACTAAGAATCTTAACACTGTACTGCAGTCCAAAATTTTAGACAATGACAGAGGGAAAAACCAGATTATATGATGACACAAATTTGTTGCAGTTTCTGTACTGCCACCATGGCAAACTAGTTTTTAAGGTTCAATTCAGAGCACAGAGATGAAAGAATTCTCAATTTTATGTGGAAAGACTGTAATATAGTAGAATTTAAAGGAATAAAGCAGAGGTATAATGAAATCACTGAGGGTGCGACTCCACCAACAGAAGCCTGGGATGTGTTTCCAGTGTTTGTGGGGAAAAAACATAGCTTAGCTTTCACACCCCAGTTGAATTTGAAGTAGTTTTCAACTCTTCACGTCACCCGTGCATTTCTTACACAGACACTTCTACATCACTGTACACATATATTCTCTATACGTATGAAACACAAAGTCACTATGACATATTAAATTTTATAATGCTGTTTTCCCAACAAACCATCACAACCAAACCCACAGCTCGTGGCCACCTATTTTTGTAATATTATAAACTTAAGAATTTTCTAAATTGTTCACAGTGCTGTTTAAATCTCTTTCTCTGTTTTATCTGTTATGGTACCTATGATCACTCAATTCAGTTGTACAGGAAAATAATTTGATCCTACCTCCAAGCATTTTGTAAATTTGCTGGTTGGGAAGGAACCAGTTCCAGCTGCCAAGGCACAACATCACTCCCAAATCTGTCACGGAAAGATAACAGCAAATAAACTTCAGATTATGCTTTAGAACAAGTAAAAAGGTAGAATAAATTCACTGATAAGGAAAAATCTCATTTGGACTATTTCAGACATAAAATTGCCTGATGCTAACTATTTCAAACCATTTAATTATTCACATTTATCCATCACTCAGCAGTTGTCAGATTTGCAAGGTAGTGGGCCAGGCTACATTTTTCTTTCCTGAACAGGATCCTAAGTGAGCTGGTAAAAGCTAAGTGGAATGCAGACCCTCAGATGGTGCCTGTATCTCTGACCTAAGGGCTCTGTTCTCCCACCAGGTGTGGAACTCCATGAGCTGTTTTTTCTTACGTGCCAGTCAGAAACCTGCCCAGCTGCTCTTCAGTAGCTCTGCCATATGTTTATGACTACCAGTGCCGAGTACAGAATTTTAGTACTATTACGTATTTCAAAAGTATTAGTTACTGTAAAATTTAAAGGGTGTTCTCAGTTACAGTACCCAAGACACTGAACTCCTCTTCCAGTAAGGGTTTCCAACACATGAATTAATAGTTATGAACAACCTAGCAGGATGAGAATTCGTTACATTGATGATCAGTTCTAGTGAGCCTCATCTAAAACAGTGATTTTTAATCACTAATCTGGTCTCTGTACATCTGATCCATGCACTTATCCAATAATGACAAATCAGGACTACTCTTGTAATTATAGAATCATAGAATCCTAGAATGATTTGGGTTGGAAGGGACCTTAAAGATCATCTAGTTCCAACCCCCTGCCATGGGCAGGGACACCTTCCACTAGACCAGGTTGCTCAAGGCCTCGTCCAGCCTGGCCTTGAAGACATCCAGGGATGGGGCAAGACATCCAGGGATGGGGCAAAAACATTAAATATAATTAAAACATCTAAAATATGTCTGTTAGTAACTACAGTCTCCCAGCATACTTCCCTCATTGCAATGCATTAATAACTATCTTAAAAGAATCTTAAATAGTTGCTTACGCTATAATATTGAAGTAATCCGTATTTGACAATTGTTCCTCAAGTAGAAGTCGCAAAGAATGTTGGATACGAATGATGTACATAGAGTTTGTTGCTGATATATCAACAAGTATAACTACCCTACATAAGAAATATGTTATTCATAAAAAAGAAAAAAAATTATCATTTAATTACATATTCTTATCTTCAGTGTACTCTAACTTGGTAGAGAAAGTATCTTCTAGCTATGTATCAAATGTATAAACACCGAATCTCTTAAAAACACCCCAATCTCCAAAACATAAAGTGAGATTTGAAAAAAAGCAGTTACAATAATGGAAATTCTATCTTTCTTAAGCTATGAATAATCTGGCACATGTAGTGCCACAATGGCTGTTGAACCCTAAACAGGTCCTCTTTCTTCTCTCTACATGAATATCCACACCACACCTGAAACATGTGGACGTTATCCAATGAGAAATGTTGTTGGGTAGTTCATTGTCCTTTCCCTAACCATCATTCCAGCAACATACGTAGTATCACCCCAAAGATAAATGGCAAGTTTTCTCCCAGCATGTCAGGGACAGACTGGTTGCTCAGGTACGGACTGACAAATGTCATCTGGCATGTTATCCGTTTGGAGAAAAGGTGTTAATGGTGACCTTTGACTGTATGGTCAGTATTATGTTTTCCTTGCAGAGACAATGCCGGACAATTAACAATAGTTAATGGACAGGGGATACCCTGGGAGCAGTTGTTATGAGAAGAACCACAGATGCAATGGACAGGCAATGGGACAAAGAGTTCCCAACACAATACAGTGGCCAGATGGGCATTCAATCCCTGAACAATGAACAATGAACAAGAGTATCTCTAGAAACAGTGGCCTTGGCTATCTTCTTGTTTGAATCTTCAAATTCAAGGTTGGTAGACAGGACAAAAAAAGAAATTGTGCAATTGAGGTTGGGTAAAGCCTCAGACACAACATAAATATCATCCTCAAATGCATAATCAGATGAAGATCTCAAACCTCATGCAGAGAGGAAAATCTTAGGTTTTTGAGCACGTCTACACTGATACTCATCACCTGTCACTAGAATGCACTTCAACAAGTACTGGAAGCAGAAGGTACTTCATAGGTCCAATCTCGTCTTCTGCCAAGAACCCATGAGACCGTGCAGAAAAACCCTAGGCATAAATACCAATAGCATGGCTTTGGAAAGCTGAATGTAAACACTACCTCTGGCCGGAAACATCAGGTTCTGTTTATGTGTGATTTAAGATAGAACATTCCCCAAAGGCTTACTTGCTAGATAAAGAGTCTCATCCAGTCTCATGGAAATTGCAGTTTTGTGTTGACCAATGATCAATGAATCAGTGAATTAATCAGTGAATTAATGAAATTCACTGGGTCATTAAAAAAGCTGAATATCAATATCTGTTTTCAAAAGTGGATTTCTTACACTGGTCACATCTACCACTGTTGTCTCTACATCTGATTATTTTCTGACCTGTATTCCTTGGTGCTGACTTACACACAAAGCAAAGGGTGGCAAACCACACCCATCACCAATACACGAAACAAGGACTAGCAAAGTACAATACCTCCTTTCACAAACACTTCCCCATATTCCTCTGCTAGCAACAGACAGCCAGTCAATTCGGTTCTCATAGAGCCTTACCATTTTAGCAAGGAGTTTCTGTGCATAAAATATAAAAAACTCAAGTTAAAAATATAAAGTTTAGATAAGTCTTTTACTGCCAAATCCTTAATACAAAAGTAACTTGACAACATAGTAATGAAAAAAATAATGATTGTTCATTCATGTTGACAGCAGCATTTAACTCTTAGTAAAGATAAGAGAATACAGTCCATGGTAAAAAAATCCAATGGTAAAAAAGCAACAAAGGGTCTAAACTCTCCTCTTCAATTTTCCCCTTGCTAACATGTCCCAAAATGGTGGTCAGGCATATTAAAAAAAGAAAAAAGAAGAAAACCTTCAAAAAAACCCAGTTTTTGCAAGTTTACCATTTCTTCAATAGCGTTTTTAGGCAGTGTTCATCACCAAACACATCATTTAAAATAAACACAATATTTTCAAACACATACCATTCTTTAACACTTAGCAATTTGAAGACATTAAGGCATTTTCTTCAAACTCTACAGCATGAAATTTGCCAGCATATGTATGCATTGTATGTATGAGGGCAAATCAAGCTCGAAAAGGACACTGAACTCAGAAATAAAGCTGCAAGGTAGCATTCTGTTAGAGCACATAACACAAGCACCTACCAGGGATCAAGGAGCCAGAAGCTGCTTACACATCAGCCAGTTAAACTTTACAGTGTCCTTTCTGGTCTGACTACAGAGTTCTACAGATTTCTCATTCCTCCTCCATGTTAATGAAATATTTGCCCTGCCTGGAAACATTCCCATAGCCCTTTGTCAGGACTGCTAGTGGAATGGCACAGAAGAGAGAAAAGAAGGAGAATGAATAGACCACTACGTAACACACCCTGGCTGCACATATCCCCAAGCAGCTTCTGTTTCAACAATCTTGTCTCACTCACTGATGATCTGCATTCTGACCAAAGGGGAAATCCTCAAGAATCACTACTGCCTGTAAAAATTCCCACAGCCTTTTTACGTCACCTGTATATGTATGCATCACTGCTTCTTCCACACATAAAAGAGCAAGTAAAGTCCTCAAAGAACCTCAATATCCCATACAGTGTAAATGTTCTGGTATGCCAGTAGTTTTAAAGCAGCATAGTAGGTTGGTGCAGCCCATTCAAAAACTTAAGGTGAATGTAAGGGTTGACAGAGAGCAGTGTGCAGCGTGGCTCAAGGGAGATAAAAGGAAAGGTCAGAAGACATACAGAGTCTTGGTTTAGACACAGATCATAGAATCATATCATAGAATCA